AGCACCACACATTCAAACTCATCCTATCCAAGCAAATGCTCGAACAGCTCAGATATTAATGAATAAAGACACAAACCAAGAAGCATTCCGTAACTCAAAAGAAACCTAACTTACCCGGAAAGCAACCATTCTCAACGGAGAGATAAAGCTCCTACGAAAGGCGCTAAAACTATTCAAAGTTTTAACTCTAGGCCCGTTTCTATGGGCTTTTCATTTTCTTATTGGGCCTAGACTCATTACTTTTTAATCAAACTTGAAATCTTATCCAAGACATCACTGTCAATGGAAACATAAGACCCTACTGGTATATCCTCACACGTGTCTGACACGCTTCGCACTCATTCAGCCGTTTGACGCGTTTCTCAACATGTTTTCTCTACTTCCGTAACTGAAAAACCAAAAAACGACCTCGTTTCATGCTTTTCGAAACCCGAAACAGAACAAAGAAAAAAGTCGTCTTTCTAGGATATAGATCCAATGTTTTTTTCTTTTTGTCTCTGTCTCTGTTTTCAAACCGAAACACTCATCATGAAAAGAGTTAAAGACTCGGTGTGGATGTGTTTGGTTTCGTGAGATTTAAAACTTGATCCTCTGTTTTAAGAAGAAGAAGAAGGAAAAAAGAGGAGTAACCTTTTGGAGTTTTCTTGTCACTCACTTTTGTGTGTGTTTGTGTTCGTAACGTAATTCTCAATCATAAGTAAAAAAAATGGAGTGTTCTGTGTTTCATCATGTAGTGATTGTGTTGATGTTCCTCTGGCTTCTCTCTTACTTTAACCGTTCACACGCCCTTTTCTATTTCCTCGCTCTCATCTACCTCTACCTGGTATACCTTCTCTGTTTCTCTCGTTGACTTTTATGTGTTTCTCTTATTAAAAGGTTTGATCTTGATGGGTTTCCTTTTAAGGTTCATGAACGGTATGTGATGAGATTGAGGAAGAAGTTTCAGTTTGAAGAGAGGAAGCAAGCTAACCAGAAACGGGTAAAATAATTCTTAATAGGGTTCTCAATTTTTGTATTTAGAGGTGTTTACTTTATAAGGTTTTGCTTTTGTTTTGCAATGAAACGGTTTAGGTTCTGTCTGATTCTGAGTCGGTGAGGTGGTTGAATCATGCTGTGGAGAAGATATGGCCTATTTGTATGGAACAGATTGCTTCTCAGAAGATTCTGCGTCCCATCATACCTTGGTTCTTGGATAAGTATAGACCTTGGACTGCGGTAAAGCATATACACCTTTTGTTTCTTCGGTTTCTTAATTCCATATAGCTCCTTTTGAGTCTTAGTGTGATGATTTGTGCAGAAAGAAGCTTTGATACAGCATCTCTATTTGGGAAGAAACCCACCTTTGTTGACTGATATAAGAGTGCTTCGTCAATCTACTGGTGATGATCACTTGGTATAGTTGCAAAAACATAGATTATTATGGTGACTTTTGGTTTTTGATATGTATAGAGGAAGAAGAGCTTATGGTGAAGTGTATACAGGTATTGGAACTTGGAATGAACTTCCTCACAGCAGATGATATGAGCGCAATACTTGCTGTGAAGTTAAGAAAAAGACTTGGGTTTGGAATGTGGACAAAGTTGCATCTAACAGGAATGCATGTAGAAGGCAAGGTATAATAGCTTTTCTGCACATATGCTTACACCGCTCTGTTAAGTTTGAAGTACATTTCTTTCATTATGGATACCTTTATACACTCTTGAAGGTGTTGATTGGGGTGAAGTTCCTTCGTCGATGGCCGTTTCTGGGGCGGTTACGCGTCTGTTTTGCAGAGCCGCCTTATTTCCAAATGAATGTAAAACCAATCTTTACTCATGGAGTTGATGTAGCTGTGGTTCCTGGGATTGCAGGATGGCTAGTAAGTATTAAGTAGTGTAGAAAGTTTCCTCCTGCTCTTTTGAGTTTTTACTCTTCTAACACTCGCACCTTTTTATTATTATTTCCAAATCAGGACAAACTCTTGTCTATTGCATTTGAGCAGACTCTTGTTGAGGTAAGAGTTCCCTCATATAACTAAACAAATATTTTTTTATTACAATGAAGCCAGCTAAACGAAGCTTTTGTCTAACTTGCAGCCAAATATGCTTGTAGTTGATATGGAGAAGTTTGTTAGTCCACAATCAGGAGGTAACTATTGTCAGACATCTCTCGAACTTTGATTTAATCAATCTATATGGTTACATTTTACATACTGTGTCTCTGTGTTGGTTCCAGAGAATTGGTTCTTCGTTGATGAGAAAGAACCAGTTGCACACGCTCTTGTTGAAGTCGTTGAAGCATCTGATGTTAAACCATCAGATCTAAATGGTTAGTCACTAAGCAAGTTAGTTTCCTCCACTTTTGAACGGCATCTTATAAACTTCTTGGATTTGGATGCTTCAGGTTTATCTGATCCATATGTGAAAGGACAGCTCGGCGCATACCGATTCAAAACCAAGATACTAAAGAAAACGCTCTCACCCAAATGGCAAGAAGAGTTCAAGATACCAATCTTGACATGGGACTCTCCAAACATACTCAACATTGAAGTCCAAGACAAAGACAGGTTCAGCGACGACAGCCTCGGTGACTGTCAAGTAAACATTGCAGAGTTTAGAGGCGGGGAAAGAAACGATATGTGGTTACCTCTCCAGAACATCAAGATGGGGAGACTTCACCTCGCTATTACAGTAACTGAAGAGGGAGCAGCAAAGGTAGATGACCCGTTTGAAGGAGCAACAATAAGTAAAGAAGACATGTGGGCTTCTTTTGCTTTTGATGATGCAAATAAAAGTTCCTTCTCTTCAGTGGTGTCTGATAAGTCTCCGAAGGTTAGAGATAATCTTGAACCAATCAACATTGAAGGACAAGAAGAGACAGGGATCTGGGTGCATCAACCAGGAACTGAAGTCTCACAGATATGGGAGCCGAGAAAAGGCAAGACTCGTCGATGCGTCGATAACAATATACTTGGAGTTGTGACTCATGAGAGTACTACTACTGGTAGTAATGAAAGCAGCAGCCCTGATGAAAACCAGGAAGGGAAGAACACGGTGAAGTCTGTTGGGAGAGGATTGAAGAAAGTCTTTCATAGGAATGGGAAGAAGGAAGAAGAGTCAGGGAACTTGGAGGAGGATGTCAGGTCTCCTAGGGTCAACTTGAAGGCGTTAAACCGAAAGGATGTTGGGGTTAAGTACATTGTTGAAGACCGTTTATCAGGGCCACTTACGGGAAGAAGTCCAAAGGGTGAGAGCTTTGGTTCTGAAGATGCTCAGAACAAGGGACACATGAAGGATGTTGCAAAGAGTATTCTGAAACACGCTGAGAAGTCTGCAAGACATATAAAGCATGCGTTTTCGCGTAAAGGGTCAAGAAAATCAAGAGATGATGAGTGCTCAACCGTTCCTGAGAATGAGTCTCTGTCCGGTTCTGAATGTCAATGTGAATATTCTGATGATGATACTGCAGTTAGCAGTGTGCAGGGGACACCAAGAACAGCAAAACCTGAAGGTAAAGTTGTGAGGGCAGGAGAAGATGATCATGTAAACTCTAGAGAAGCAAAGGTTATACAGAAAGTAAACCCAGCGATCTTGGAAACCACACATATGGATGCCAGGGATGCTTCTGCTGGAGCTGAGAAAGTCTCCACGCCAAAAAATGTCTCATGATAGAAAGCAAAAATATATAGGTAATAAAAGGCTTGTTAAGTTTGAGTAGTTTTTAAGTTTACCACAAAGGAATATTGTACAGCTTTTGAGTTTTGAATCTATGTGTTGGTTTACAGATTTTGAGTGTGTGTCTTGCTTTAACCACTTGTTCTCCCACTAGAAGAATAGAGTGAGAATAGCTACTGCTAATCTAATCACTGGCTTTGAAACTGTTCTCGAACTATTTTCAAGCAATTGCTCTGTTTCACATCTTGATAGAAAGAAGTTTCACTATTAATCGTGGTTCTGATTAGAGTGAGTTTTATGTCATCTTATGCATGTTGAAAGCAAAGTGATACTACCAAGCAACAAGCCATATTTTAAGTTTGTCACCTGATAATTTGAAAAAAGTTTTAACTTAATAATATGACAGAGAATTGTCTCTTTACTATGCCATATAAGTCTTTTGTTTTTTAACCTAATTTTATTGATGTTAAAACATTACATGAGTGCTAACTCATTACAAAACTAAATACAAACTCACTTAGCATAGATGTATAGTCCATAAAAGGACTAATTCTAAGGTGAAATAAAGTATATATTAAACCATCTTTTGATCATAAGAAATAGTATAAACTGAAGTGTATATATTTGTATCCAACTGATGTTTGATAGATAGCTAGTTTTAGTAACTAGCTTTCTCATCTAGTGATCATTGCATTATCAACAGGATCTATAATTAACAGATATGAAACAGCCTTTTGTTAATTCATCAATACATAACTACATCACTACTCTCTTGCCACAGAGAAAGAGTATCCATAGTTAATATGAGAATAATAATCACCACCTTCAATCTCAAGACCACTACCATCTACACCATCAATGCAAGAAAACTCCGTACACCAATTCATCATCTCGTTATCAATTTGCGACATAACCACACCAATGTCAAAGTCGTTTAGCAACTCGAAATCATCTTCCAGACCGGATTTTGTCTGTTGGAGATCATTGTCTCGAGACTCTATGGGCGAAGAAGAACTCGTGTTGATCTCCACTTCTAGAGATCTTATCACGCGGTTTAGTTCCTTCTCTTCCTCTTCGTTGATGATGCTACTATGATTAGCTACAGGTGATCCTTCTTCCAAAAACGACATGATCATCAGCTCATTGTTGAAAACCTCCATTCCTTGATCTATACCATGTTGAACAGACGCCATTTGTGAGAATGTGTAAAGAGTTAAGAAGAGAAAAATATAAGAGATATTATAACATGAGCCAAAGCTAAGGTCTTATATATAGGGGAAGGTTAAATTAAATAATTAGGTATATTAGCGTATGAGATAAGATGTCTCCCCAACACTACACGACCAATCATGTGATCTTATGTAATTTGATATGATGATGATGATGATAGTAGTTTGTAATAAAGAATAAAATGGGATAATATTGTAGCTTTTGGCCTAACTGATAGTGAACCATCGAGGAGACATGACTGAATGAAATTAATTCATGGACAAATATTATACTTAACTAGAAATTTAGTTGAATGTCAAATCTCAAGTGTCCAAGTGGAATATGCGTATAAGCAAGATCTCGAAAGTTTGGTATGGTGCACAACCCACTTGTAGATATGGTACTTAGGATAGGCGAAGAAACAAAGCCGAGACATCTGCTTTATCGTGTTTGCAATTACAATTTGGGAGCAAATCAACGGACGTAAGCTACGGATAATACCACTATATGTAGATAGAGAATACCACTACTATAAAATATGCACAAAATAATTGTTTTTATATGAAAGATTTGGTTCTTGAGTAATTGCTTTCTACCGGAAATGTCAAATGAAATGTCAAACTTTGATTCATAAGTCACCATTTAGACACCGAGTTCTGATTGGTAACAACAGTAGTGAGAGGGTCATATGACCCCCATGAATTTTTGTTACAATAAAATTTTACATGTATTTCTGATTGAAAAAGCTAGTGAAAAGTAGTAAAATTAGGGCAATGACCCCTGTAACATTTCCTGAATATATCTTTAACCAGTGACTTAATTTTGTTGACCCCCATAAGTTGAACTAAATGTTTGCGAGCTAAATGTTTGCGGGAATATGTTGTTCTGTTACACGTATTTATTTTTCATTCTCAAAATTATTAAAGAAAAATTCCATAAAAATATCCCAACTAAATTTCGTTAAACTTTTTAATACCCAAATTTTTTACTACCCAGTTTAGTATCCCAACTAATTATTTTGTCCATTTTAATACAAAATTTTTTATAATATTCATTTTAATACCCAAACTTTATTTATTTTAATTAACAATACTACTAAGTTTCAAACGAAATTTAAAGAAATTTTTAAAATCTAAGAAAACATATTTAAAATTTCTAATATTACTTAATAATTTAAGAAAGAAGGTAAATAAACTCTAGAGAAGATTTAAAAGTTTAAAAATTAGTTTTGAAGGAAAGCGAACTAATTTTATTTTATTTTTATTTTAGAAAACAAACTAAATTCAATATTTAAAATTTAAAAAATATTACTAAATTTAAGATTATAGAAAAATTATTTACTTTTATCTCTCAAACATAAAATACAATTAGAATTTTCTGTAAAGATTAGAGATTTTAAAATTTTCATTTGAAACTTATTAATATTTTTATCAAAATAAACAAAGTTTGGTTATTTAAATGGGTACAGTTATAAAAGTGTGTATTAAAATAGGTAAAATAATTAGTTGGGGGTATTAAACTGGGTAGTAAAAAAAATTAAGTATTAAAATGCTTAACAAAATTTAGTTGGGGTATTTTTATGGAATTTTCTCAAATATAAAATAACATGTTAAAATGGTTATGGGTATAGAAAAAGTAAGTTCAATATCAAATGCGTGGTGGTAAAGCTAATGGTTAGCGTAAGCAGAGCCGATTCTGGGTCAAAACAAAAGAATCAATAGTTTCTGATCGTCAGTTAATACAAAAAATATCGGTCACATTTTTTCACAAATGTATTTTTTGTGTAGTGATTAAACAGCCTTGTAAATACACCCAAACCCGAGTTCGAGAACCCTAACCATCATAATTTTTATTTTCGGCCATTTTTCTATTTTTGGTTTATAGCCTTAAGAATTATAGAACCGGTTCTTAGCTTAAAGCAGTCGTTTGTGTTTCTCTAGGTTTAAATTTCTTTGAGAAGATGGTTATGCATGTCATAGTATTTACCAATCTTATAGTACTGATTTCGTTCCTCAAGTTCAAAATTATTGAAAGGTTTCATTAAAAAACGTTGTCTCTTGTAAAAACTGAATATATGAACCACAAGATGGTGGCCTAATGGTAGGCGAGCTTTGGGATTTGTTAAGTAACCCGAGTTCGAAAACACTCCACTACATCTTATCTTGTGGCCACGCGGATATGCGCCTATCTTACGGCCCATTTAAATATCTGGAGTGAAGGTCCATCCGTGGGCTGCACCACCTCTTCGGGGATTAGTCTGAGCCTCTTCATGGACTTGGGATACCCCCAAGGTTAAAAAAAAAAAAAACTGGATATACAAATACAAAATAAATATAAATATAACTAAAACATAATTTCTTTATATGTCTTTTTGTTCGGTAAGAACGCAAAATTTACACACCTGAAACGGTTCGTGTCTATTTGCATATCTAACATATTATATCGGCTTGAAGTACATAAATAATTCTATGATGTAGGGTTAGAATGCAAATGGATGTCACATTTACGATAAACGTACCGAAACCAACCTTTATATTAAAGGTATACAAAGAAAAAAAATTATTTTCGGGGTCATGTAAGATATGCTTGATAAGGTACGTGTCACATGTGGGTTTAGACGTTGGAGAAGGGATGATTTGACCCAATAAATGCGTTCGAAGTATTAGCACGAGTGGTGGTTCTTTTTCGTGGACCGACCCACACTCTGATAGATACCATATATTACACAGCCAACAAAAGAAGTAAACAGAGTTCTCCTTTGTTGTACTTCTTTTATATGCTTTTGATGTCGTAAGTGAGTGACGATATGAGTCCTTGCATTGCACCTGATCGACATGAGATCAGTGATGATGGATTACACTCGCCAATCGCCATGAGACTGTACTCGGATTCAAGCTTCATAGGTTGTTCTTGTTTTCACGTTGTTATTCAATAAAAGAGATCAGATTTCTAAAAAAAATATCAAGTGTTTAAGAAAATAATAATAACCTGATCGTGTAGATTCCTTTGTAATTAATCATATGACCATTTTTCGGATCCCAAATGAAATGATAAGAGTCATCACATGTTCCTGTCTGGAAGATCCAGATTAATGGATTTGAAACGTGAAAGCATGTTGGATTAATCTGTTGGATCAGCTTGAATCATTTATGAGATAATGCCTAAACCGAGTTATGGGTTAGGATAAGTAAGAAGTCCTGAGATTTAGGAGTTATCTATATCTTAGTTGTTGTTATCTTTATGACTTGTACTCTATATATTTGGAGGTATCGGTTTGTGATACAACAAGAGTTTTGGTGCTTTAGTTTTGAGAGGATTTTCTAAGNGGGTTAGGATAAGTAAGAAGTCCTGAGATTTAGGAGTTATCTATATCTTAGTTGTTGTTATCTTTATGACTTGTACTCTATATATTTGGAGGTATCGGTTTGTGATACAACAAGAGTTTTGGTGCTTTAGTTTTGAGAGGATTTTCTAAGGCTTGAAGTAAGTTTAATAAGAGAGTAATTCTTGTTAAAGTTTGTTTGTGTTCGAGTGTTTTGCTTAATCAAGTTCTTCATTTGGTATCAGAGCTTTGGAGGATTCGATCTAAGCAAAACGCATAATGGGAGATCTATCTACAACGGTGATAAAACCTAAGGACAGTGGACCTTCAAAGTTCACATGTCCGATGCTGAATGCCACAAATTACACAGTTTGGGCAATAAGGATCAAAGTTCTGCTCAAACTACATGGAGTATGGAGTGTGATTGAAGAGGAATCTAGTGAAGCTGAGAAGAACAACATGGCGATTGCAATACTCTTCCAGTCCATACCAGAGGTTCTCATACTGCAAGTGGGAGAGTTGGACACTGCTAAAGAAGTTTGGGAAGCGATAAAATCAAGACACATGGGGGCAGAGAGAGTGAGAGAGGCACGTTTACAAACTCTCATGTCCGAGTTCGATAGATTGAGAATGAAGGATGATGAGAAAGTTGATGACTTTGTGGGAAGAATGTCGGAGATATCTTCAAAGTCAACCGCTCTTGGAGAAAAGATAGAAGAAGTTAAGATAGTCAAGAAGTTTCTCAGCAGCCTTCCTAGGAGTAAATACATCCAAATTGTGGCCTCCTTGGAGCAGGTCCTAGACCTAAAGACCACAAGCTTTGAAGAAATTGTTGGACGTATAAAGACGTTTGAGGAACGTATTGCCCTTGACGAGGAAGATGCACAAGAGAATCAAAAGCTCATGTATGCAAATTCGGACTCTCGCTCTACCTCAAATCATGATAACACATACCGTGGAAGAGGACGTGGAGGAAGATACTATAATAGAGGCAGAGGAAGAGGACGAAATGGTGGTAGATACAATGAGCGAGCTTATCATGAAGTTGATCTGACCAAGATCATATGCTTTCGATGCGATAAGAGTGGACATTATGCATCTACGTGTCCCGACCGGTTGTTGAAGTTACAAGAGATCACAGAGGCCAAGGAGAAGGAGGATGACATACAAGAGGCAGAGGAATTAATGGTGATAGAGACAGAGGAGTTGATGGTGAACGAGGTAGTATACCTAAATGAGAAGAACGTTAATCCTCAGGAGCTTGAAGGCAATGCTGATAATGTTTGGTATCTGGATAATGGCGCCAGTAACCATATGACTGGCAACAGGAGCTATTTCAAGTCATTAAATGAATCAGTAACAGGAAAGGTGAGATTCGGAGATGACTCGCGCATCAGCATCAAAGGAAAGGGATCAGTACTCTTCTGCAACAAAGACGGAGCAACGAAGATCATAACCGATGTTTACTATATACCAAAGTTGAAGAGCAATATTATTTCTCTTGGACAAGCGACAGAATCTGGCTGTGCTGTTCTGATGAGGGATGACTACCTTGTTCTAAAAGACAAGGATGGAAGAATCTTAACAAGAGCCACGAGATCACGAAATCGACTATACAAAGTAAACATCAACATGGTTGATCCGATGTGTCTACAAGTTACGACTGCGATGAGCACCTCGACCCTCTGGCACGCACGCTTAGGGCACATGGGAAGAGATTCTATGTCTAAAATGATCAAGAATGAACTGGTACTCGGAATACCTAAAATGGAGGTTGGAAAAGATACGTGCTCTTCATGCTTGCTTGGCAAGCAAGTACGACAATCATTTCCGAAGGCTACCACCTATCGAGCTGAAAGAATCTTGGACTTGGTACACGGAGATTTATGTGGTCCCATCTCCCCTCAGACGCCATCTAGAAGAAGATATATATTTGTACTCATAGACGATTACTCAAGGTTCCAGTGGTCATTTTTGATGAATGAGAAGGGAGAAGCGTTTGAGAAATTTAAGGCCTTCAAGAACACAGTTGAAAAGGAAACGGGTACCACTATCAAGACGTTCAGAACAGATCGTGGAGGAGAGTTCACTTCGTCAGAATTCACCACGTTTTGTGATGCTACTGGCATAATCAGACACCTTACGGCCCCTTACTCTCCACAACAGAATGGAGTCGTAGAGAGACGCAACAGGACTCTAATGGGAATGACACGAAGCATCTTAAAGGGCATGGAGTGTCCTAATTACTTGTGGGGGGAAGCCGTACGACATTCAACATACATCATCAACAGAGTAGCTACTCGAGTGTTGGAGGAGAAAACCCCATATGAAGCTTTGAAGGGTAAGAAACCTAATGTTGCTCACATACGTGTATTTGGGTGCATTGGTTATGCTAAAGTCGACACACCATATCTAAAGAAGCTTGAGAATCGTTCGCGTATGCTAGTGCATCTTGGCACTGAACCCGGATCAAAGGCATACAGGATGTATGACCCTACTACACGGAGAATAGTTGTCAGTAGAGATGTTGTTTTCGATGAAACGAAGATGTGGAACTGGAAGAACAATGCAGCAGAGAACACTGAATCCTTCAACGTGATGCTAGGTGCTTATGGAAACAGGGGGATCAAAGGAGACAAAGAAGATGGTGGCACAAACGATGCAAGCATTGATTCTATTGTTACACCAAACCAATCTATCGAAAGCACACCCAACATAGACGCAGAAGCAGAGGATATAAGTGATGACGATGATGTAAGTGTGTTAAGAAGATCTACACGAGAGAGGAAAACACCGGCTTATCTTGATGACTACATTCTTCTGGCTGAACTTGATGGAGAAAGACTTCTCATGAGTGTCAATGATGAGCCTTGGGATTATGATGATGCGAAGAAGAAGAAAGAGTGGTGTGATGCTTGTGATGATGAGATAGCTTCCATTGTCAAGAATAAGACATGGGAGCTAGTTGACTTGCCACAAGGATCAAAAGCTATTGGTCTTAAATGGGTGTTTAAGGTTAAGAGAAATGCGGATGGGACTATCAACAAGTTCAAGGCCAGGCTAGTTGCAAAGGGATACATACAAAGGCATGGGGTAGATTTCGACGAGGTATTTGCCCCGGTGGCCAGAATTGAAACGGTGAGGTTCCTAATTGCATTAGCAGCTTCAAGAGGTTGGGAAATTCATCATCTAGACGTCAAGACAGCGTTCTTAAATGGTGATCTAAAGGAAGTCGTCTATGTTTTCCAACCAGAAGGTTATGTGGTGAAAGGACAAGAGAATAAGGTGTATAAGTTACAAAAGGCGCTTTATGGTTTGAGACAGGCTCCTCGAGCCTGGAATGAGAAGCTCAACAAGGTTCTTGGGAGCTTAGGATTCACAAGGTGCTCAAAGGAACCAGCCTTGTATCGGAAGCATGATGGAGGTAACATTCTTTGTGTTGCAGTATACGTAGATGACTTACTCGTTGCAGGGTCAAGCCTTCAGAATATATATGAGTTCAAAGCTGGGATGGCTAAGAATTTTGAAATGAGTGACTTGGGAAAGCTCACGTACTATCTTGGAATTGAAGTGGTTCAACATTCAACGGGGATTACTCTGAGACAAGAAAGATATGCGTTGAGAATACTTGCTGAAACAGGGATGAAAGACTGCAATGCTGTTCAAGTACCAATGGATCCTAGTTTGAAGTTGTCCAAGGCAGAAACAGAGAAGAGTGTAGAAGAGAAAGAGTACAGACGCAATATTGGATGTCTGAGATATTTATTGCATACTCGGCCAGACCTTTCTTTTGCCGTAGGAGTGCTTAGTCGATATATGCAATCACCGAAGACATCTCATGAAGCAGCTTTGAAAATGATCCTGCGTTACTTGCGTGGAACATGCTCCTATGGAATATGTTTTAAGAGAGCTGAGGAGAGTAGAGTTGTAGGTTACAGTGACAGTAGTCACAATGTGGATGAGGATGATGGACGAAGCACGAGTGGACATGTTTTCTACTACGCTGATTGTCCTATTACTTGGACGTCACACAAGCAGGAGACGGTGGCTTTGTCGTCCTGTGAGGCTGAGTTCATGGCAGCAACTGATGCAGCTAAACAAGCTATATGGCTTCAGGAATTGTTGGGGGAGATACTGGGAACAAAGAGTGAAAGGGTTGCTATCATGATCGACAATAAGTCAGCCATAGCTTTGACAAAGAATCCTGTGTTTCATGGCCGTAGTAAACACATTCACCGGCGTTACCACTTTATTCGAGAATGTGTGGATAATGAGTTAATTGAGGTGCATCACATAGCTGGTACTAAGCAAAGGGCAGACATACTTACCAAAGCGTTGGGAAGACTGAAGTTTAGAGAAATGAGAGAGCTCATTGGAGTGAAGGATGTGTTAAAGAATGATATCAAGCTTATGGGGGAGAATGTTGGATCAGCTTGAATCATTTATGAGATAATGCCTAAACCGAGTTATGGGTTAGGATAAGTAAGAAGTCCTGAGATTTAGGAGTTATCTATATCTTAGTTGTTGTTATCTTTATGACTTGTACTCTATATATTTGGAGGTATCGGTTTGTGATACAACAAGAGTTTTGGTGCTTTAGTTTTGAGAGGATTTTCTAAGNGGGTTAGGATAAGTAAGAAGTCCTGAGATTTAGGAGTTATCTATATCTTAGTTGTTGTTATCTTTATGACTTGTACTCTATATATTTGGAGGTATCGGTTTGTGATACAACAAGAGTTTTGGTGCTTTAGTTTTGAGAGGATTTTCTAAGGCTTGAAGTAAGTTTAATAAGAGAGTAATTCTTGTTAAAGTTTGTTTGTATTCGAGTGTTTTGCTTAATCAAGTTCTTCATAATCTTTCTTGAAAACAAAAAAAGAGTGCAGAAGAGATCAAACGTTCTAACACATGCTTCTTTTCCAATTGAAAAATGTAACAAAATACTTCACTGGTTTGAAAGGTTCTGTCATGAATCATAATCTAGTTTTTACTCAACCTACATGAAATTATTGAAAAATTAAGGGTAGTTAGTACTCTATTGATGCAGTTTTAGTCACTTGTTTCGTACGTGGACATTCACTTTTTCATTTATTCTTGAAGGGGTGTTAGGCCACAATAGAGAAGTATTAACAAAAAAAAAAGACGGAGTATATTCAAATAGTTAAAGTTAATCTGACTAAGAAGGATCCTTACAGACTAAGAGTCTGGTGACATTGTATCTGGCGATAGCAAAATGGGCACGCGCAGGTAACGTTCCAAGCTTTGAGGATTACATGGAGATTGGGAGCTCCTCACCTGGACTGGATGGCTTTGCAGCCTACGGATATATATCAATGGACGATTGTGATCAGAAGCAATTGCATGAGTGGTTGAAATCCAAACCCAAAATATTTGAAGCTTTAAATACTGCATTTCGTCTGAACAATGACATTGCCACTTTTGAGGTATGTATATGTATATATATTACACGTGGACCAACTCTAACTACCAAAATAAACTTCTTATATAAAAATGAACCGCGAGAAGTGAGCAGGGGAGAGGTGGCGAATGGCCTCAATTGTTACATGAAGCAACATGGTGTTACCAAAGAAGCAGCGGTTGAAGTATTGAAGTTGGAAAGAGAAAATTATAAGATTATGATGGAGGAATTTGTTGTGTCAATATTGCACGTGTGCTGGATTTTTATTACAAGGAAGGTGATGCATTTGGTCATCCTGATCAAAACCTAACAGACATTATTGCGTCTTTGTTCCTCCATCCAATTCCTTTTAAGAACTAAAGAAAGTTAAGAATGAATTTGGGATGATTACAAAAAAAGAGTGAATTTGGGAGATACATAAAATAATGAATAGACTAAATTGTTGACTTTAAATTTTCTGAATAAATCATCTCACATTTGAGCATCATCATCGTAGTTCAAAATACTCTACAATATTTCTCTGTTGACAACATTTAAGAGCCATGATTTTACCATACTATTCTTGAAGAAGAAAGATCCATCAACGAAACCTAGCTTGTTTTAGCATCAAGACTAATTATCATAGCTATTGACCAACTGTTTATAGTTTGTTCCATCGATAATGACACGATCGATATGATCTCCTGAATGAAGAACCGGCTGTATGTACTGTCATAGGACTCGGTCATCATCGAAATCATATTTGAATCATTGCTATGAATAAATCGTCGAGATTGTTGTCATTTTGCAGTGAAATCTTCAGGTTCATCTATATTCGGTGTAACCAACCTTTTTAGGACTTAAAACCACAATCTTCCTGTGTAGAACTTGGTGAAAATTCATAGTACTTAGGGAAACCAAAACATATCAAAATATGTGTTTTGTATCCCTAGGAATTGAATTAATTTAATAGAAATTATCAAAATATTTAAAGATATATTTTTCTAATGATATGTCTTTCATCCTGAAAATGCAAGGGTTTATAAGAAATTGTAAAAATATGTAAAGAGTCTTTTTCATTATAAAAATTACATAAATTTTGAAGAGGTTTTCAAAGTGTCTAAGGTGTATCTTTTCATTCTAAAACTTGTGAATATTTTTAATGAATTGTCTTTTAGTTATTTGCATATCGAATTTGTATGCATTTTGAAATATCTTAAAAATTATCTTAAAATATTGAGATAATTCAGTATGAGTAGTTTAATTATTTATAATATTATATTAACTTTATGGTTTTGATATTATTATTTTTTTTCAAAAACTTCTATATATTTTATATTTGTTTTCGTTTATTCGGTTTCAAATCAAATATTCAAACTATTTTGATAATATTAATTATTAGTAGATAAGCACTAACAAAATGTAAACCATGAATTTTTTTTTCTATATGTGCACTTTTAATTTATGCATAATTTTGATATATGTATTATTTATTTAGTAAATATCTAATTACATTTAAATAGAGAATGATTGTTGGAAATATAAGTAAATCTTTGTAACCATTTAAATGAACTTTTGCAATTTTATGGATGAATAGTTGCAACTGATTAAAATGAAACCTAGCAATATATAAGGATGAACTATTGTAATTGTAGCATTTGATGATGAATCATTATATTTTTGTGGAATGTTATACCAAAACATACTTCTTCAGAAGCTGTCAATTCTTTAAATAAGTATAATTTGTATATTTTAAACAACATTAAAGAGGCTAAACTTAAGTATAAATATCATTTATTAGAAGAACCTATTAATTCTTAGGTATTTTTAAAAAAACTATTAATGAGATTAAACTTTTGTATATATAGCATCTACTGAAAAAAAACTTGATAAATTAGAAAATATAGTATTTGTTTTAATGCATAACTTCATCATTTACTGACATGTAATGGAAATTAAAGTGGTCTGAGACATTATTTATCTCCGTTTCTATAGAATTTACATATTTTATAAGGGTTAGTCCACAGAATTATGTGGAACATGAAGTTTTCTTAAATTACTCATTAAAATATTAGAAACAATATCCATGCACCATGAAAATAAGTTTAACATACATTAATATAAATGTATAATGTGATTAGGTACTTTTTAGTTAACATGAAAGAGCTTAAACTTCAGTAAATATTATTTATCAGAAAACTCGATCTTTTTGTAAGTGTTAACCCACATATTTCAAGATAAATTATAAAATACAGTACTTTTCTTTTAAAGCATAGATGCATCAAACACAAATATAGGATGAATATCAAGGATGTCTGACACTTTTGTTGTTCCAATTTCTCTAAAATATATATATAGAGAGAGATTTCCTAGGGTTTAGTTCTTTGATTTACATGGTATATGAAGTTTTATTAAATTACTCGTTGGAAAATTATAACTGATATCCATGTACCATGAAAATAAATTTAGGATATATTAGTGTAAATTTTTAATGTGGTTAAATATTTTAAACAACACTAAAGAGACTAAACTTAAGTACAAATAGCATTTATTGGAAAAATCTTGATTTTTTCTTAAGGGTTAACCCATAGATTTTAAGATAAATTAAAAATATGGAGTTTTTGTATTTATGCATAGCTGCATCCAGAACTAATATAGGATGAATATGAAAGAGTTATGATACCTTAGTTGTCCAAGTTTCTTTAGAAAATAGAGTTTAGTTCACTGATTTTGGTGGTATATGGAGTTTTAATAAATTCCTCGGTTGAAAATGAAAATTGATGCATATGTACCAAGAACATAATTTTAGTACATTAATATGAATTTTGAATGTGGTTAGGTATTTTTAAACAAAACTGAGGAGGTCTATATATAATATTTATCTGAAAACTTGATCCTTTTGAATGGTCATATATTTCATGAAAAGTTAAAAAAAATATGGTATTTTTATTTTACTGAATGCATCATGACATAATAAGGAGGTTTGTTGTATTAGGTGTTCCCGTTACTACAGAAATAAAGTATTTATATGGGTTAGTCTATTTATTAGGTGATATGTGAAGTTTAAATAAATTACTTATTGGAAAATTAGAAATGATGTCCATGTACCATGAAAATATGTTTAGTATACATATATATAAAATTGGAGTGTGGTTATGTATTTATAAACAACACTAAATAGACTAAATAGTATAGATAGTATTTATAGAAAAATTCAATCTTTCGTAGCGGTTAACCTACATATTTCAAGATAAATTAGAAAATATGGTATTTTTGTTTTAATGCATAGATGCATCATGTGTTGAAAATAGTATGGAGTTTGAGACCTTAGGTTTTCCCGTTTCTCTAGAAAATAAAAATTTTATAGGGGTTAGTCTACTTATTAGGTGGTATATAAAGTATAAAAAAATTATTCGTTGGAAATGATGCGTGTGTACCATGAAAATAAGTTTAGCACACATTAATATGTATTAGATCGTGGTTAGGTGTTTTAAAAAAAAATATTATTGAGGCTAAACTTTAGTATATATAACATTTATTCGAAAAAAACTTGATCTTTCCATAAGATAAATTAGAAAATATGATATTTTGTTTGAATGCATAACTTCATCATGCAATGACATGTGATGAAAATTAAAGAGTTTAAGACCTTATTTGTCCCCGTTCACCATAAGTTACAGATTTTATAAAGGTTAGTCAGCTGACTTAAGTGGAGTATGAAATTTTATTAAATTACTTATTAAAATATTAGAAACAATATCTATGCACCATGAAAATATGTTTAACATACAATAATATAAATGTATAATGTGATTAGGTACCTTTTAGTCAACATGAAAGAGCTTAAACTTCAGTAAATATTATTTATTAGAAAACTCGATCTTTTTATATGTATTAACCCACAAATTTCAAGATAAATTATAAAATACAGTACTTTTCTTTTAATGCATAGATGCATCCAACACAAATATAGGATGAAGATCAAGGATGTATGACACCTTTGTTACTCCAATTTCTCCAATATATATAGAGATTTCATAAGGTTTAGTTCTTGAATTTATATGGTATATGAAGTTTCATTAAATTACTCGTTGGAAAGTTATAACTGATTCTCATGTACCATGAAAATTAATTTATGATACATTAGTATAAATTTTTAATGTGGTTAGTTATTTTAAACAACATAAAAGAGGCTAAACTTAACTAAAATAGCATTTACTGGAAAAAAAATTGATCTTTTCCTATGGGTTAACCCACATATTTCAAGATAAATTAAAAACTTTGGAATTTTTTTAATTATGCATAGCTACATCCAATACTGATATAAGATGAATATCAAAAAGTTCTGATACTTTAGTTATCCAAGTTTCTCCGGGAAATAGAGATTTCATAGGATTAGTTTTTTGATTTTGGTGGTATATGGAATTTAATTAAATTCCTCGGTTGAAAGTTAAATTGATGCTCATGTACCATGAACATAAGTTTAGTACATTAATTTAAATTTTGAATTTGGTTAGGTATTTTTAAACAAAACTAAAAAGGATAAACTATAGTATATATAACATTTATCGGAAAACTCGATCTTTTTGTGGGGATTAACTCACATATTTCAAGATAAATTAGAAAATATGGTATTTTATTTTAATACATAGCTCCTTAATGCAGTAACATAGTATGGATATTAAAAATGTTTGATGCCTTAGGTGTTCTCGTTTCTCCCGAAAAGAAGAATTTTTATAAGGTTTTGTATACTTATTAGGTGGTATATGAAGTTTAAATAATTTACTCACTGAAAAATTTAAAATGATGCCCATATACCATGAAAATAAGTTTAGCATATATATAAACAACATTAAAGAGGCTAAATATTATTGATAGCATTTATCATAAAATTTAATCTTTCCGTGAGGTTAACCCACATATTTCAAGATAAACTAAAAATATGATATTTTTTTAATGCATATAAGCATCATGAAATGACATAGTATGAAGATTAAAGAGGTTTAAGACCTTATTTGTTCTCGTTTCTCTAGAACATATTTACAAGATATGAGGGCATCATTTCTAATTTTTCAACGAGTACTTTGTTTAAAATTCGTTTAGCATACATGAATATAAATTTAGTGTGGTTATGTATTTTTAAAACAATATTCATGAGGCTAAACTTTAGTATATATACCATTTATTGGAAAAAAGCTGTATATTTTCGTAAGATAAATTAGAAAATATGATATTTTATTTAATGCATATTTTCTCCATGCAGTGAGAAGTGATGAAAATTAAAGAGGTCTGAGATCTTAGTTGTCCATGTTTCTATAGAAATTACATATTTTATAGGGACTAGCACATAATTAGGTGGAATATGACGTTTTTTTAAATTA